CCCCCCCCCCCCCCCCCCCCCAATTTTCCTATTTTTTACCGTTTCACGCGTGCATAGTTGGTGGTGGATACCTCGAGGGATGTGTTGCCGGAGTGGGGGGCGGGGGTGCTCGACGACCCACGACTGGAGGTCCACTACACCGACGCACACGCCTTCCTCCGCGAGAGCGAGGACATGTATGACGTCATCATCATGGACATCGCCGACCCTATTGAGGCTGGCCCGGGGTACATCCTATACACGCAGGCGAGACTGATTGGTGGTAAACGTTAATGCTAAATTAGGAAGTTTGGTTGTGTACCACTTCATTGATTTGATGTGAGATGGCGTTTGTGTTGTGCTTTTTCCGTCCTTTAAAACATATATATATATCTGTCGCGTAGTGGTACTCGAGTTTTGGTGCTTTCTGCGTTTCTCCCATGCATATGTCCGTTTGTTTTTGTGTTTTTGTGCTGCTTGTTAACGTTCCCCAGTCATTCGCACCGCATGTTCCTTCAGTTAACATGAAAAAACGGGTACAAATACAAGGTGAACCCCCCACGCTACAAAACAACGGACAACTTCGCACGAAAATTAATCCGAAATGATGAAACAACAACACCTTCTTGGTGTGCGAAAAAAAAACGTAGGAGTTCTACAAGTTCGCAACGACGAAGCTTTCTCCCGGGGGGGTGCTGGTCACCCAGTCCGGTGCTGCCGCGGTGCACCTCAAGGACGAGTGCTTCACCGTCATCCACAAGACGCTCAAGTCCGTCTTCCAGCACGTGTCCATGTCGGTAGCCGACGTGCCATCGTTTGGCTGCTGCTGGGGCTTCAACCTTGCTTCTGACTCGGGCACGTTCAATACAGAGGTAAGCTTGTTGGGGAACGGGTACTCATGATTTGCGTGCCTTAGTGCACAACCACACCACACTCTGTTGAAGTTGTTCTGTGGTTTCGCTGGAGTTCTATGCGCCCAAGCAACAACAACAGATGCCGACATCTGATGAACTTGGTTGGTGGCTTCCCAGGAGCGCTTTGAGTGCAACAATCAGATGCAACATTTGTTGGACGGTTTCCCAGAGTTCCTTGAAAGCAAACAACAACAACTGATGAACTTGTTGAATGTTTTTCCAGGAGTACCGCCGGAAGGAGGTAGCGGCGACGGACTCGGACATCGAGGCAAGGATTACAGGGACCCTGCGTTTCTACGACGGTATCACCCACGGCGGACTTTTCGGGGTCCCCAAGTGGCTCCGGGCGGCGGTAGAGGAGGAGGAGCGCATCATGACCATCGATAACCCTGTTTTCATGTATTGATGTTCGCACGGCAGAGACGGATTTGTTGAGCTGGAGGGGG